CTCCTGCCACGGGCAAAGCTGGCCACTCGGATATCTGCACGGGAGAGCAACGGGTCATGGAGGCAAGGACAGCTCAGCCTGCTGGGGGGAACATCTCCCAGGCCCCCAGCAGCAACAGCCTGGACCCTCCATGCCACCTCTAGCCTGGGAGAAGCAGATGCAGCCAGCCCAGCAAAGGGAATGCTGGATTCTGACAGCACCCCACGTGCCAGAGGGTACATTAATAGGAAGAGCCATTTCCCTTCTAAATGGAGAAGGCTGAGCAATGAATGCCTGCCAGGCTCTGCTGAGCCCCACAGAGTGATGCTTTTTGGGACATTGGCAAGTCACCTCCTTCGTGGCTGATCAGGTGGAAAAGTCTGGGCATTGGCCTGTTCCTCCTCCAAGCTGCCTCATTTAGATTCCTGGGTTGTCTGGCCAGTGCATGGGGCAGAGCCTCCTCCTCCCAACATGTGCACCAGTGTAGGCAATGGGCCAAAAACAGTAGGATCCATCCAGTTCAGAAGGCAGGTAAGAGCAATCAGAGGCTTTCTGAAGCTGTGGGACTTCTGGCAGTGTTAAGCAGTGCAGCAGAACTGCCTGTTCTGATGTCTGTCAGGGCAGGAAGGGTTACCACAGAGTGACAGGCATGGCTCCTCCCTCCCTTCTCTGCACACTTGAGCCATTTCCATGGTATCATTCCCACCTGCCACTGGGCTTGCCATCTCTGCCCAGGTCTTTTTGTCTGCCAGCTGACAGATACTGAAGATGAACAATTTATCTGCCTTTGAGCTAGTGGCTTGGCTCTAAATCCTAATTTCTCTTTTGTTGGTGCCTTGTGGGCCTGGAAGCTCCATCTTCTGACCCAGCACTGTACTATGATGATTTCTGCAGAGACCAGGCTTCAAAGGTGGGGATTTGAATCAGTGTTTAAGCCAAGAATATAAAAAGGGCATCATTTTAGCAGCTAGAGAGTGGGTTCCCTCCACACAAGATGAACTTCAAATAAATGCTCCTTCCCACCACAGGAGCTAAAGGGGAGAGAGAAAAGAATATCCCCAAACTGCCACTCTCAGCTTTCATTATTTTCTTACAGTTTCAGTGAGCTCACACCGTAATGATCAGGCTGCCCTTACCTTCTCTGGCTTCATAAACATCAACATGGAAGCCTCGTCTAGCAAAGAAACAGGCATTTAATGCACCCACCTACAAGACAAAGATCAGGAAGGGTGGATGAGGCATCTCAGAGGTCACTGCTGAGATGCATCAAAGGAAAGAAGTGATCAGGGGATGCAGCTCAGCATAAACAGGGAGCTCCTTTGAGCAAGAACCTCAGAAGATTTTTTTACTGAAGAGCAGTCCTCTGCCAGCCCTGTGTGTTTGCAGAGTCTCCAAGACAAAAGCCACCCATCAAAACTCTTTTTATGAAGTCATACCAAGCTCAGGCTTGTTTACACACAGCAACTGAATGAGCAGGGCTCACCTCTTCAGCCAGAGACAGCAGGGGCTGGTGCAGGCAAGCTCCAGCTCTGCTCTGTACTGTGTTTACCGTGCTCACTAGTAAAGGGCAGAGCAGCATTCTCTTGAGAACATAGTGAGGGAGAACACTATAAATTTGTCCTGTTTGTAATTTAAATAATTTTTAAAAATTTAATTTCCATTATGAATTGTTGTCAGAACTACAGCCTCTTCTGTCATCACTCTTTTCCAAGAAGCTAATGCCCAAAAAGTCAAGAGAGAGATGTAGGTGAATCAGAGACTCATGGAAGGGTTTGGGTTGGAAAGGATGCTAAAGACCATCTTGTTCCAAACCCCTGCCATAGGCAGGGACACCTTCCACTAGACCAGATTACTCAGAGCCCCATCCTGCCTGGCCTTTAGTGTCACACCTCTCTGCAAGTAGCAGTGGATGAAAACCACCCCCAAACAAAAGTGGGCAGAGGAAGGCATTTCCTCTCAGCCTGACGTTTACTGGTTCCAGTCCTTGCAAAGCATTTCACATTAGAGCTTTGGTTACAGCCAAAATCAGCCAAGGGACAGGGGAACCTGGCAGCCCAAACCAGGGCTGGTTTTTAGTGTACACTGCTCACCCACCCCCCAAACCCCTTCACCCAAGAAAAGAGCAGGAGCCTCCCACGGCAGGAACTCAATCAACCCCTTCGCAGCACCCCGTCATCTGACAGAGGAATGACTTTAAGAAAAACATTCACCCCCACATTCAAGCAGTGTTTTTACAGCCCCAGCTCCCCAGCAAACAATCATGCAGCAGCTAAATGGCATTTCCTACCAGACCACCACCAACAACAGCAACTCTTTTCCCTCGTGGGTCACAGGGCTCCATGCTGGGTCACCCCTGGGTCTCAGATCCCTGCTCTGTCTCTGATCCCTCTGCTTCTCTGCCCTTGCCAGTGGGGAGGGGAAGGGCAGGAATGTGGGTGGCTGAGTCATGCCTGGGTTCTTCTCCCCCGAGTCACATTAAAGTTTAACTCCCAGCCCGGAGACCGTCAGGGAGCCAGCCTGGCTGAGCCTGAGGTGTTGAGATGGCAGCATGGTGTTATTCAGTCAGGCTCCTCTGGAAATTGTAGAGCAATCCTGCAGTCTCCAAGGAATACACACAGAGCAGGAGAAGAACTTGCATTGGCCAGGCTTTTTGCTGCTTCACTGGGATGCAACTGCAGAGGCAGTGGTGGGACAATATGGAGTGACTTCTGGAACCTCTCCTGAGGGTGAGTTGTGAGCTACACTACTTACCAGGAGCCTCATCCCATCTTTGAGGACATCCTTCATCCAAGGAAACTGTGTGTGGCGCAGGGTTTGGGGATGTGATGCTCAGGAGAGGGTCCATGCCTGCTCTGCAGAAGCTTTACAGGACTTAGACAAATCTAACGAGGAGACATCTCTGCAGGCATTATTTCACATGCCCATCCTTGGGAGGGAATGCTCTGCCGAGCCAATGCTGCCCACAGTAAGCATTGCAAAGGGAGGAGCCAATTAGAGCCAAATACAATAATCAAACAGACAGTGAAACTGCAGATATTTGTATCACCAAGTACAACTTATTGCTAAACCTGCCAGGCCCCAGCAGATTTGGCTCAGAGAATCATTAAGGCAGAAAAAGGCCTCTGAGAACACCGAGTCCCAGCTGTTAGCCCAGCGCTGCCAAGCACACCACTAAGCTGTGACCCTAAATGCCACATCAAGACCTACAGGGATGGGACAGGACTCAAGTGCTTCCCTGGGCAGCCTCTTCCAATGTCTGACAATGTTTTCAGTCAAGGGTTTCTTCCTAATGTTCAATCCAATGGCACAACCTGAGGCCATTTTCTCTTTCAGGTAGTTGTAGAAAGTGAGGAGTTGCAGAGAGCAATAAGAATCTCAAAGACAACAGAGCAGAGAGGGCAAAGGACAAGGTCGGTTTTACATAGTAAATAAATTATTCATTAATTGTTTTTGAAACACAGACGGCACATGATTAGTTTCCAGCAGTGATAGTTACTATCTTTTCTTCATTCCAAACAAACTTTAGGTCCCTGGGTTTTCTTAATCAGACTCACTCACAAACTGCATGAGGCAAACCCAGTGTACAGATGTTCTCCACTCTAAAAACAGAAGGTGGGAAGATATTGAGAAAGTACTATAAAATCATCATTCATCTTTCTATATTAAGCAAAACCAGGCTGCTGAGAGAATGAAAAAGTGTTGCTTGATAAAAACTCTGAGGGAGCCTTTTAAGAAGTCGTAAATAAAACTAAAAAGGACAGGATAACATGGGCATGGATAAAAGCCTGTCCTCTGGGGAAAAGTAAAGGAGGGAAAAGTAAAGGAGGGAAAAGTGATTGATTTATGTTGCTGAAGAAAAAGACATGTCAATGGCTGAGGAAGAACAGCAGGATTTTATTGGTTTTAGAAAAGCTATGGTCCACTTGCAGAGGATCCTGTACTGTCAGTATGTGGGCCACCTGCAACAAGAAAAAACAGGGTTATTGTATTTAGTGACAGCCAGTAGTGCTGCAGCTGCAAAAAGATGAGTTTGGTCTCATACCTTGTGGTGGCAGGCAGCTGAAGAAGAGGAAGAACAAAGTTTGAAGGCCATGACAAGACCTACTGATTTCTGCAGTGAATTGCACAGATCCTGACAGGAGCCAGGAGTTCTTTACTGGTTCAGATTACAAACCCGTGTCAAGGGGAAATAGGTAGAAATGTTCATCCCTTATAATCCCATTAGGGAAATAATCTGTTCAGGAATTCAAATCCCCTGCTGAAGAGGGCTGTACAGATACCCCTGCCAGCAGGTCACCCGTGCCCAAGGCTGCAGCTGCCTCCATCCTGTTCTCCTGTTCACTAAGGCTCTGAAAGAGCCATGGACAGAAATAAAAGTTGAGTTCTCGGTGTGTCCCCATGTCACCCGCGCTTCCACGCTCTAGCAAGGGGCATTTCTTCACCAGCCTTGGCATGTAAGAACTTGCTAGCACCTAGGAAGGCAAGCAGGAGAAGCTCAGAGGAAGGCACAAAGCAAGTGAGCCCCTGGAGGAGCTGGCTGTGTCCTCTGCACAGGGCTGAGGGGCTCTATGGATTTGGGAGCATCCTGGGGAGAAGTTCAGCCATTTCTGCACTTGAAATCCACCCCCTTCAGCTGCAAGCACAAGCTTATGGCAAAGGCTCAGCATTATTTCTGATACTCCCCTCTCTTTGTACCATTTTTCTTAGCTGGTGGTTTGGGTTTTTATTTTCCCAGGAATTTCTGAGTAGCAAATGTCCCAGCAGTGCTTTAAGAACATAAACCCTGCTGGGAACCTTAGCCTGAATGTAAAACACTTCCCCATCCCCTCCCCAGCCCTGATTTATTTAGCAGGTGACTGCTGTGCTCACAGGGAGACCCAAAAGGCAGGGTGGGGGACCAGTATGATCCTCACCCTTGTCAGATCCCCACATTTACCCCACAATCCGCCTTGCCACCCCACCTGGGCAGGGAGAAAGGGCTGCAAGCGCACGTCACAGCTCCTGCTGACTTACATGGGCTGGGCAGAGCCGCTGCTCCAGGGCTGCTCTGTGGAGGTGGGCAGGAAGCTCCTGGGGGGCACTGGGAGCACCCCCGTGGGAGGGTAGTGGTGGTGGTGGTGCACCACAGGTGCTCTGGGCCTCTCTGCCTTCACGGCCAGGGGAGCAGCGAGCTGCAGCTCCTTCTTGGAGAGAGACAAAGGGCGGCTGCAGAAACCTGTGCCCCCCACGGGGTCCGAGGTGAGGGGGCAGGGTTCCACTCAGCCACCCCCTGGGAAAGGAAGACCTTTGGAGAACAATCTGCAGGTTCCAGTAGACAAGGTCCAAGAACACCTGGTCACTTCAGATTTCACCTGATCCTCAGCCCCCACTCCCTCCAATTTATTCCATAAGTCAATGCCAGGGAAATGCAGCATGCCAGGATGGCCTGGAGAGGAAGGTAGCCATCAGGGCATGCTCTTCCTCTGCCATCTTTCCCAAGTCACAGCGTCCTCCACAGTGCTCTGGCTCTCCCAGCTCTCTGTGTGTTTTGCCCAGGCCTGGTGCCCTCCCAGGGAGATGATGATGCTAAAGGACTTTTCCAACCTTTTCCATTCTATGAGTCAGCGGACTCTCACTCAAGGTGGCACTGCAATATCACGTAAATGTGAGGAAACCTCTCCCAGGAAAGCAGTGATCGGGGCTGGAGCAGTGGAGAGCACAGCCAGGCTCTGAGAGCAGCCCTCCAGGCTGGGTGGTGTTACCTGCCGCGGGTGCTGGAGCGGGGCACAGCCGGCTCCCCCAGGCTGTGTGAGCAGGGCTGGTGGCAGAGCCTTCAGCATCATGTTCTGCATCATGATCTGGTGCATCTGAGCATTCTGCATCAGCATCATCTCCACCACATCTGGGAAGGGAAGGAAAGGGTAAGAGCTTTATCCAAAACTGACAAGCAGCAGAGGCATCGTGGTAAGGAGTGTCCTCCAGCACACAGAGTGGTCACTGCAACAAAGGCAGAGCAGCTGAAAGGGGGCACATTGTCCTGACTTGTAAGATATGTGTGCATTCTATTTGCCATCTGTTAGGAGTAGGGCAGTTATCTTCTGTTCACTGGGCAGTTTTCTTTATCTCTTCCACAACCAATCCTCCCTCCAGAGAGATATCTTCTATTTATAGGCCACTGAGTGTCACTGCATGGCTGATAAAAATTACATCATCCCATTGTAAGATGCTCCACCCAGAAAGAAGAGCCACACATTCCTACTTAAATATAATCTGAGACTTAAAACAACAGAGACACCCTTTCCCCACTAAATTCCCAAAAGAACAACTATCTTCTCCACTACATTCCCAGAAAAAGACCAAACCCACCTACAGCACCACCAGACCCTCAAAAAACCCCTACACCCTTCTACAAAACCACTGCTTCAACAAAACCACATCTGTCACTCCAAGAAAACTACAGCCACTGTTTAATCAAAACTGCTACTAACACCCTAGCCAACAGAGTGTCGTGTTCTAACTCTGTCAGTAGTTTATTTTCTAGGTTTTTCGTACTATTGCAGCTAGCCAACAGAGTGTCAAGTCATGTTCTAACTCTGTCAGTAGTTTATTTTCTAGGTTTTTCGTACTATTGCATTTGTATTTTTGTTAATTTTCCTCGTAAAAAAACTTCCTATTTCCATATCTTTATCTGAAAACCCCTTAATTAAAAAATTATAATAATTCAGAGAGAAAGAGCTTACATTTTCCTTTTCAAGGAAGGCCCCTGCCTTCCTTAACAGACACCTGTCCTTTCAAACCAAGACACCTGTGAAGAATATTGGCACTATTTCCCCAGACACTGCAAAGTTAATGTCTGTGAATGGGGTTGTTCACCCCAGCTTTCCTGTTTCTCCTCCCTCCTACAAGAAAGCTGCTGCTGAGCATTTTGTCTTGCCCTGCCAGCCCACAGCCCTGCCTGTGCTGCAAGGCAGGATGGAGAAGAGCTGAGCTGCAGCTTTCCCTTGCTGCAGCAAGGACAGGCTCGTGGCTGTGCTCTCCAATGCTCCAGCCCCAGATCACTGCTTTCATGGGAGAGGTTTCCTCACATTTACGTGATATTGCAGTGCCACCTTGAGTGAGAGTCCGCTGACTCTTAGAATAGAAAAGGTTGGAAAAGAGCTTTAGCATCATCAAGTCCAACCCTCAGTCTGTCATTTCAGGCACATCAAATCTCCTTATACAATCTCTGGGATCCAAAGGACTTGTGCAGTGTAACTAATTCACTTGGGGAGAAGTGAAGAGGAAGAGGGGAGAAAAAAAAGAAGGGAAAAAATAATGAAGGCAACTCTCATTTTCCTTTTTACTGATCATACAAAAAGTAGTTTACATGTAGCAGCTTCAGAGAAGTCATGAGTGGATTTGGACTATTTTGGTTATGGAAATAAATTCTGATTCAAAAATCCAGACACTTAGATGAAGTATGAGCTGAGAAATACTGCAGTTCCATGACTGAGGATTCCTGGGTAGGATGAACCTTTGGCTGAAGGCTAAGCCAGGGAAATTGTCCCAGGTTTTAGCTCATGTATTATTTCCCAGTAGCACCCCCTAGGTTTAGAAACAAACTCTTTTATTGGCATTGCACTATATTTAGAACAACATTTTCAGATGTTCTGTCTTGTTTCCAAACACAGGGTACAAACAAAAGCCTGAGGAGATTGAACAGCAGCTTAGGAAGGAACAAAAGAATAAAACCAGATTTTAGAAGCCTGTTTGCCAATTCTAGAACCATCCATGTGCATGACTTTGACTTTGTTAATATTACTCAGCGCCACGAGTTGAGCTGTTTTGCTTTCCCAATCTTCCCTCGAGTCTGTAGTTCCTTTTTCTTTAGTTTTAGTGATAAGAGTTTCACAACAGAATGCCTTTCACAACTGGTACCCATCCCATCTATGAAGCACAACTCCCAAAGCTCCACCAGCTCATTAAACAGCACATCCCTAACGAGCTTGGACACCATCCCATGTCCCCTTCCAGTTGCCACAGCACCTGCCCTGCCCTCTCCAGGCCTGGTGGCAGGAGCTGGCTGCCCTGTGGAGGGGTTGTTACCTTCCTTAATGCTCCCAGAGCGGGGGGCTGCAGAGGGCTGGGCTGGGGGAATCTGTGTGATCACAGGGGAGGGCTGAGGCAACTGCTGGATGATGGTGGCAGGCTGAGCTGGCACCTGGAACGGGAAGGAAAATGGAGAAGTCAGGCTTGGTTTTGGCCAGCTCCCTAGCTATGGGAACAGCTGTCATCTGCCTAGGCTTCAGGAAAACTCTGGGATTGTCGTGGAGACGCTGTTGAGGCTGTGGACTGCCTGAGCAGACAGTGAGGTGCATTAGAAAGTGACTGAATGGCCAGGCTGGAGTGTGAGCAGCCCTGCCATTCCATGGGTGTGTTCCAGGGTCCCAGGATGAGGGAAGAGATGAGAATCTTGACTCCATGTTTTAGAAGGCTGGTTTATTATATTATGATATGATATGATATTATATTAAAAGGAAATACTAAAACTAAACTAAAAGAATAGAGAGAAAAGATCCTCCAGAAGGTTAAAAAGAAAAAGAAAAGAATAATAACAAAAGCTCGTGACTCTCAGAAAGTTTAACTGTGATTGGTCATTAATTAAACACAACCAACACAGATCAATCACAAATATACCTGTTGCATTCCACAACAGCAAATAGTTATTATTTACATTTCTTTCCTGAGACTCCTCAACTTCTCAGGAGAGAACCCTATCGAAAGGATTTTCTTAAAATATGTCATGGTGACATGGTGACCACTCTTTTTGCCATCTTGCTCCAAGAGTAAACCATTCCCATTGTTAATTTTGGGCCTTATTGGCAAGATGATTTCCCCTTAGGTTTCACTGCAGGCAGCAAGGGTCCCATAAAAGAGCAAGAGGCATATCGTCCCTTTTTGTGGAATGAACAATTCCATACAGCTCCCAAATGATTGTCAGCTCAGACTGGCACAGTGCTGGTGGTGTTTTCTAGGAGACAATCCTTACTGTCTGCTGGATAATCCTTGGTGGCTCCACTGGGGAAGCTGGAAAAGGGATCTGGTAGATTTGTGGCAGGGCAGCTCTGTGGTCATGGCAGTGTCCCCCATCTGGTGCAGGTGGCTGTGAAAGCTCTTCCAGAAGGTGCTGCTCCTGCAAAGTCAAGTATTTTCTTAAAGAAAATCTGGTCACAGCAAGGCAGACAGTATGGTTATGCTCCCTGGACTAAAAGGGATTAGGCCCTGGGAACCTGCAGCAAGGGCACTGCCAGTGCCTCTATATTCCTTCCCACAGATCTTGAAGCATAAGCAAAAAGGATTGGGAAAAAAAAAATGTGCAAAACAAGCTGGCAAAATTCTGGGAAAACATTTTAATAATTGTTGGTATCCTCCACAAACTAGGAATAAATAACAATTACTACTGTCTCTACTTTGGCATCGCTAAAAATCCCTTCTTTGCATTTTGGCACAGAAAGTTTCTGACACAGCAGCTCAGGAGAAGCAGAATCATCCCACCTTAGTGCCTGAAGCAGGTGCAAGCTCCCTCAGCTGCAGCGAGAGAAGCCAGGCTGCTCTCCAGGCTCTTTCCCTGATTAGCTGGCCCTGCCTTTATATTCCAAAGCAGCAGAGCACTAAATCCTGCCCAGCCCCAGAACCAAAGGCCAGGAAAACACTGAACCCACATCAGCAGTGGGTGTGCAGGTAACTGGGACATGTCTGCTCCTCCTGGCCAGAGAGGGCTCTTACCCTGAGCTCCTGCAGCAGATCTTTCCTTTCTTTCAGGGCATGGAGCATGTCCTGAGGTCTGTTCCCTGGAAGAGGGAGAGTCTCCATTATCTCCTCAAAGGATCACAAAGACAGAGCTATTACAGCACCTGTGTTATGATATGAATGTGGAAAATGTGTTATTGGATAGCTGGATGTTGCATATGGGTAAAAACTTACAAAATAAGGCCTTGTTACCCTTGTAAAATCATTGCTCATGCCTGCTACTTTCGCTAAGCATTAAAGGACTGTGGGAAAGAGACTCAGCTGAATTAGGGGTAGAAAAAGAATTTATATCACCATGATGTGCTCACATCGTGACGTATGGTGGTTGGTTGGATTGTGTTTGATATGATTTAAAACTATGTAACTGGTAAAGGCCTAACTGCTCAAAAAGGTCTGGTTTTTGCAATAAAGAGACTCCTTTGCACCTGCCTGAGGACTCTGCACAGCTCTGCTTCAACAGCTTGAGTTCTTCCACAAAAGGCTTGGGCTACTTTTCTTGTCAAATACATGCATGGATAATGACTTTGTGCCATGTGCAGCCACAGCTGCTCAGCAGCTCTGCAAAGGCAGAACACCTCAGATAATAAACTCTTAAGATTGCTCTCTAAAGCCCCCTTTTAACCTCCTGGTTTAGGAATCCATTTCAGGCTGAAATTTTCTAGAAGTGCCCTGGGCATGCAGAGGATGCCTGTTTGTAGTAACAGCTCCATAAAACTCTGGTTTGAATGCCAACTTTTCTGTTTCCTTTTTGTTCTGAATTAACTTCCTTTTCAGCTCATCCCACACACGATTGATTTTGAAACGAAGATAAGCAAGAATGTTTTCATGCACTTTGGAGCCGTGCCTGGCAGCTGCTCTGGAAAGCACCGTTTTGTATTTTGAAACTGTAAGCTGTTATAGGGGATTTTTTAAAAATGTTTGGCCACAGCATCAGAAAATTCCAACTATTTGTGCACCAGATCAATGAACAGGAGCCCACAGTACAGTCTAGAAAGATCACCGAGCTTCTACTGGTGGCCTTGGATCCTTAGATAATATAAACAGTGTTTATATTATTTTGCCATGCAAAGAAATTAAGGGTTCCTCCTGCCTTTTCAGGATCACCAAAGCCAGGCAAACAGCTGGACTACAGCAGGGTGTACTCCTAGGTGTAAGAGCTGGGAGAAGCTGGATCAGCACAGTTTGCTCCAGCTGAGAGGCTGCAGAGGACGCCTGGGCAGGAATCCATCCTATGGTAGTGCTCAGCTGGTTGTTCACTTCCCTTGGTCAGGAAAAAAACAGCTGAAGAAATTCAAAAGATCAAAAGCAGTTATCTCACAGATGAAGGGAAGAGAGGGGATCATCTCCTGAGGAAGTCATGCCTGACAACATAAGCAAGACCTTTCCAAAATATGACTAAAATTAGGACAAACGCTTCTCTTACTTGCAGCTGGGAGAGACAATTCCATCTTCTCTAAGTTCTCCTGTTCATTTTCTAGTCTCTGTTGGCAGAACCATAACCAGAACTGGTTATAAGTCAGGCAGAAAAGCTCATAAAGATTTCCAGGCCTATGGCACATGTTTGGGATAGAGGAAACAGAGAAGTAGGAAATGTCTCATTACAAATGTAGTTACAGTGAAGAACAGTGATGCTTCCAACTGTGCAAGCTATTCCAGACCTTAAAATTGATAGCACGGTGAATCAGGAGACATAATTTATTTTTCAGGGCAGAGAGCTGCATCATATGAAGAACTTGATAATGTTGAGTTTGGACTCTTGATTCAGCAAAGGTCTGACCAGGCAACACATCTTATGTGAAAGCAGACATGAAATTGCCTTAAAACAATCTGAGATTCTCTTTACCCAAGATTTACTCCTAAACTTTGTCTGTCCCAGCTCAAACTGGCTTTGAGCTAACTGGTGACATCTCCCATAAAATGAAAGTCAATTTAATTTACTGCAGGTCCAGGTAAACTTGTGGAATGTTATTTAAGAAAGGGAAAGCAAGTAGTACCACTCCTCAGTGTATCTCAGTAGAGTTATACTGCTTTAACACACAGTGCTAATGCTTCAACAGGCAAGAGCAAAAAGCAGAGCAGAGGTGACCCCTGCAGAACGATTCCCTTACCTTTTCTAGCAGTTTGAGTTTCAGTCGTGCCAGGTGATCCATCACTGAAGGATCTGCCATTATCTCCTGGAAGAGCAGGCAGGCAAAAGCAGGTTAAAAAGCTAAACAGAGGCAGATAGGTTTCCAGGGCTCATTTTTTCCCCTCCACAATCTTCACAGAATAATTCCATTATTAAAAAACAATAATACAAGATGAGCAGAAATGGAGAGAAGCAGATAAAAGCTTCAGTCTCACTCCCAGCTCAGAATGAGCACAGGCATTCACAAGCTCACAGACACAGCTTTTCCTGCCATTTCTCTCCACATACTTTTGTGCTGCAGGTTGTGATGCTCACAGGAAGGCTATTTAGACCGAATATTTATTTGTCTGTTCCTAATGGTTGCTATCCTTCCCCTGGCAGCATCACTAAGCCTGGCCTCTGTGTTGTTAGAGACTTTTAATTAGCTCAGAGGCTTGTGCCCGGTTGCTAAGTTTATAGTGTCAACAGGTAACATAAACAATTTCATCTCCAGGCACAGGAGCTTGTGTACTTTTGGCAAAGCAAATGCCTGGCACATTAGTGGACAAGAAAGAAAGAAATAAAAGCCAATGGTTCTTTAAAACAAGACCAGTGCCAGCAGTCAGATTATGGTCTTGCTGAGTGGCACCTGTTTATTCCACTAGAAGGGGTCTGCACACTTTTAACATAGCCCTTTACATGAGTTATCACCACACAGTAAGTAAAAAGAAGAAGGAGCATAGCTGGAACCCTCCCCTGGGTAAGTTCAAGAATCAAGAGGCTATGGTGTAACATCCTTTTGGTTACCATCTCCCAGGAAACCTGCAGAATGTCTCCCTTTCCCAGCAAAGCCCTACCAGCATAAAAACAGGGCCACATTTATCAGTGACATCCATGAAATGAACACCAAGGCAAGAGAAAAAAAGCCAAGTGGCAGACACTCCTTCTCAGTAGGAGATTTTAAGCCCAGGAGAGACAAGTTACAACCAAGTTAGAATCCTCTGCTCCCAGGAGAGAGAAGTTAGAAGCCCTTCCTCACTCGAAAGGCCATAGCAAAACTGCAGCAGAGCCACTGCTGGCAGCTGGAGCAGCTCAGGGATGCTCCTGAGCCGTGTGAGAGCAGCACAGACCCTACAGCCCATCCCTAAAAACACACGGGCTGGAAGGCTCTGGAGAACTCGGGGAAACCAAGGTGCAGGGATCCCTAAGGCAGCTGTGCTGGGTCAGAGCTGGGCTGAACAGCAGGAGGAGAAAATCCTCTCACTTGCCAGCAGCTCTCCTGGGAAACAACTCTGAGTCCATTTCTATACTTGAAACCCCAACAAGATTTTTCTCTGAGCCCTTCACGTGAGCAGCTGCAGCAGCCTTTGACAAGGAGTTTCCTAGTTATGCCTGCAAAGTGCAGAAGCATGGTTTGCTCCTGTGCTGGGAAAGAAACCCACCCCTTTTTTATTGCTGGTGAATACTGAGCTGATTATTCTACCATCAACTGGTTTGGTTCAGTGCCCCTAAAAGCTGAATTTCTAGAGCCTTCATTGCAGTATGAAAAGAGGGCCACGAGAGAGTTTGACAAAAAGAACCAGGTATAAGTCTTCCATTAAAAGTACAGCACCAGTGTGAATTTACTAAAGAGGAAATAAAGAGAATTTTTTTGCTTGATGTGACAGGTATCCCAGAGGAAATCCAGGAATTTTTTTTTCTTCTTTTTTTTTTTTTAATCCAGGGATTTTTTTTAAAAGGCACTTTTCAGCAAACCTGCTAAAGGATCTCTCTTCTCCCACAGTTATGGATGCCTTGGTCACAGCGTGATCCTTACTCTTGGGACATCTTACAACCCGCTAACTAATGGGGTGCCAGGAATGTGCCAGCCACACCCCAGATCTGGCTGGAAGGGCTCTGTAGCTACACTGAATCCCAAACAAGAGATCGCACTTGAGGATGAAAATTCAAAAGATCAAAACCAGGCAAAAGCAATGCCACAAAGGAATAACAGGTGTGTTACGTGCACCTCACAGGACATCATTATTCTGCTCTATTTAGCAGGGCTGAAGTCAGAGTTTGGGCACTGTGCTTATTTTTAGACATGGTGGTTCAAGAGGGAAAGAAAGTCCAGGAAAGAAAAAAAAAAATAATAAGGGTGCATTTACAAAATGTTGGTTCTAAGGAAGACTTTAAAGGACTGGCTTTGTTTAATTAGTAAGTAGATGGTGAAAAGAAGACAGGCCAGCAGTTTTTAAATAAATGAGAGGATACAATCAAAGAACGGGGTGAAGTGGGGGGTTTGTCTGGAAAAACATTTGGCTTAATGAGGAAGAGAAAACCTGATAGAAACAGGGAGAGAAAGCTTCATTACCCACTAAGGGAAATGATGGAGCAGCTATTAAAACAAAAAAAAAACTTTCACACAAGTTGTTTAGGAACAATTAAAAACCCAACGGTGTTGAACATTGCAGGGCTCCTCAGATGTAAGAATGGATTAGATAACCTGATGAGGTCCATACCAGTATTGCATTTCTTTGATGTCTTTTATTGGTTTTGATATTTTATACCCTTAATTTTAATTTCTATGAGTTATAAAAGACAATTTTAAAATATATTATGGTAATGGCCAAGATGATTAGAGGGGTGGAGGAGCTCTGCTGCGAGGAAAGGCTGAGAGACTTGGTACTGATCAGCCTGAAAAAGAGGAACTTTGGGTGACCTACATGTGGCCTTCCAGGGTCTGAAGGGAGCGCACAAGAAAGATGGAGAGAGACAATTTTCAGGGGCCTGGAGTGGCAGGACAAGGGGAAATGACTTCCCACTGACAAAGAGCAGGTTTAGATTGGATATTAGGAAAAAAATTATTCTCTGTGGAGCCCTTTTCTGGTTGCCCAGAAAAGTTGTGGCTGCCTGATCCTGGGAGGTGTTCCCTAAGACATTTCATCATTCAGACTTTGTCTTTTGGCACTGCCCTCGAGGCAGACGGGCTTTTTAATGTTTGCCAATCCAGCACGCTGCTCCGAGTACCACATTTGACTAAAGCCTGTATTTTTATAATTCAGTGACTTCAAAATACAAAGAAGCCAACAGTTTTGTAGCTTCAATAAGCAGAGCAAAACGGAATTTAAGGGTGGACATCTGGGATCTTAAATTTTTGGCCCTTCAAAGACATTGGAGTAACCAGAAGACTCCAGAGGAGACAGAAGCCTGGAAAGTTGGAGACAACTCCATGCACAAGAAAATGACAATCGAGGGATTAAAGAATGGCGACCAAATTAGCATGAAGAGCAAGAAATCATTAAGTAATACAGGACAGAATGCTGACTACTGAAGAGAATCATGCACCTCAGAACCAATGAGCATTAATTCATTTCTTGGCTAAAAATTTACAAATAAACAAAAAGGCGGGAAAGGAGCCACCAACCCTCCTCGCACCCTATTGGCCGCCGCTAGCCCCGCCTCCATTGGCCTCCTCCTAGTCCGCGTTTCCCATTGGCTGTCTCCCGCGCTGGGCGGGGACGGCGGCCCTTTTGAAATGGCGCCGGACGCTCCCATTGGTGGCTGCCGCGGGTGGGGGCGTGGCCGGCTGTTCGCGCCGGCTTGCCCGGGCTATCCCAGCAGCCACTTAGCGCGAGTGGGCGGAGCCCGGCTGAGGAAAGCCATCGCCATTGGCCGGCGGCCGCGGCGCGTCAGGAGCTGTGGCCAATGGGCGCAGAGCTCCGCCCCTCGCGGCGCGGCTGGCGCGGCGGCGGGCGGGGAGGGCCCGGGGCGGCCATGACCGACGCTGCGCTGCCGCCGCCGCCGTGAGGGCGCGGGGGGCACGGGGCAGCCCGGCCGCCGTATGGAGGCTCAGGAGGAGGCGCGGAGGCGCAAGCTGGAGGCAGGCAGGGCCAAGGTGAGGGGAAGGGGTCCCGGTTAGGCGGAGGCTGCGCCCTCCCCGGTGCCGGTGCGCTGCCAGGCCCCGCCTGCTTCGCCTCAGCCCGGCCCGGGTCGCTCCCCTCCGTGGGGGGTTCCGGAGCCGGGTGCGGGGTGCCGGCCCGGGCGTGTCCCCGGAGCCCGGTGGGGCTCTCTTGGCACCGAGGCTCCGTAGGAAAAGTGCCCAGCGGTGCGTGTGCCTGCGGGGCCCGTCCCGCTGCACAGGCATGGAGACATTGCCTGGGCCAGCGCGGAGCAGCCCGCAGCTGTGCGTGTGCCTGCTTCAGGCTCTGCTCTCCTTGCGTTTTGGGTTTTTTTCTTGCCAGCTCTCCCATTTTAGCCCGGGAGTCGGTGTTTGTGGGAATACTGCGTTCGCAGCTGAGGATCCCAAAGAACAGGTGGTGTTTTGTTGCTTGCCTGGGTGTGCGCAGGGGGAGGGAGGGCTGGGCTCGGTTTGATGGTTTCCAGCAAACACTTCATAAGCTTTGAACGTTTCAGTGTCTGCTCTTGGGTGTAGTTTAGGGACTTGTGTAGAGCTCGGAGGATGAGGCTGATTCATAAAGATAACATTCCCCAAGTAATTATTACCTGCAGCCATGCGTTTAACGCTGGTTGTGTGCTAACCCCGTTAGATAAACAAAGCTTCTGCTTTGTTTTGGTAGCGATGTTCAAGGAGCTGGTTGTAAACGCTTGGTTACTTTCCTTTTAGTTCGGCATTTCTGCTGGGTTTTGGGCTGCGTTTGGCATATTTCTCTTCTGGCTGTCCCTGCTAAATAAAGCTTTTAGTTCTCACCATTCCACTAGGACTGGAAAGGGCTATGGCTAGACAGGCTCAGGGGAAGTTGGGACCCATCAGATCTTTCCAGATCCCGTCCTTTCTGCAGGGAACCAGCCTGGATACCTGGCTAGTGGAGTCAGAGGTGCCTTGGAGCTGTCCTGTGTGTCTGTTTCAGCTGCTTCCCACCAGTGCTGCGCACAGGAAAATCAAAGAGCACTTGTGGAAGGAAGGGAGCAGGGTCGTAGCTGGAGCTCTGCTGCAGCCTGGTGACGGGCAGTGCAGCTCCTCCATGCCTGGCCTGGCCCTGCCTGATGCTGCCATGGATTCCACACTGCCTGCTCCTGCTCAGCAGGTTCTCATCTGCCTGCCTTCCCAGCCTTGTGATGGGCTGT